TTTATTATTCGCTATTCTTTATCTCAACTATATACAATGATATTTAAATAAGTACTAACATACTATAGTAATTCATATAAAATAATATCTCCTAATAACTTATCATTTGATGATTTCTATTTAGTTCTAAAAATAATGATTGGAAATTATAATCTTTATAATAGAAATTGTAAATATTGAATTTATTTATATTATTATTAAATTTAATGTAAATTTATTAACCAAAAGTAATAGAAAAAGAATTAGATTTGTTATGCAGATTAAATCATCCATAACCAATAGAATTTGTGATTCTAGATCCATAATTATCAAGAAATCAGAGGCTCTTATGCAAGTCTTGTGGTCAATAGAGTCAATCTAATTCTTAGATTATGGATTATCAGTTTCTTAAATATTGTTTTGATAAATAATAAAAAGAATCGATTTTAGAACATGAGTCAATTATTATGCCTCATATATAATATTTGGAAAGCTTATAGAACAAAATAGAATCTCTAAAAACAAGATTGATCCAAATACTTGATTATTTAATTTGGTTAACAAAGAATTGGATTACTAACTTAATCGACTCTGTAATTTAATATAGCTTCTTTGAAGAATTAGAGAAGCTAATCTCAAGGTAGATGAAAGAATTTGATAAAATAAATCTTATTGCTACCATTACAAAAATTCATTAGGATGGTATTCTCAAAATCAACCCAAAATTGGATTAATTTAAATTCTATCCTGAGTTTAAGGGAATTTTAGAAATATTTGAAAATCTTAATTCTTTAATTTTCAATCAAGAGTTGGAATTAAAATCCTAGCCAATTATCAAATCTAAAAATTCATTACTCTACTCTCTCTTAGAATAAGAGGGAGAATAAAATTGGTAAATATCTACCGAAGAGCATAAACTATATTGTTGGGATGCTTGCATAAAAGAATTTTTCTTAACAACCCTTAAAATTGAATTTACAAAAGATAACGAAATTTTATACATTAAAGACGAATCAATCATACGATGGTAATTATTTAATATATTAATCTAAATAGTGATAAAATTATAGACTTATCCCAGAAACCTGTTACACTTACTAATTTAGAGTAAATAAAATATCTTCAATGGGTTGGAGATTATGGAAAGAATAACAAAAAAATTGGCAAGTGGACAGTGAATTGGTAGGGGGAAGTTTTGAATAATGTAAGCGGAGAATACACAGATGAGGGAAAAAAATAAGGTAAATGGATAGATTTATTTGAAAATTATTCGAGGTAGAACCACTATATATCTTTATAGTGAATCATAGGTGTTGGAAATAGGCGAATATCTAAACAATTAAAGATAAGGATTATGGATCAGCATTTATGAAGATTAAGAGATGTAAAAAAATAATTTATTAATTAAAAGTGGAAGTGGAGAATATAATTCATAAGGTAAAAAGAATGGAAAATGGATAGAATTAAGTGAAAGATTCTTTCGCTTTTCTTAAGTAACGTATAAAGGTGAATATAACAATGGTACAAAAGTTGGTAAATGGGAAATTCTATTGGGGAATACCAAAATGTAAAAAATATGATATAAAGTGCTCAATGAATTTTCTGCAAATATGTGTGTTAGTGGTGGTGGATTCTATGATGAAAGCAATAATGGCAATAAGAGTGGGTAATGGATTGATTTGGATGATAAATTTAATCCCAAAAAATAGGTATATTATAAGGGAGAGTATTAAAATGGTAAAAAAGTTGGTTACTGGGAAAATTTTTTTAGAAGATAATCTGAATCGTTTTAAAAATGGTAAAATCTATTTTATAAAGTCTTGAATTAATTCAAAAATTTGCGTGATAGTGGTGGTGGATCATACGATGAAAAAGGAATAAAATTTGGGTATTGGATTGACTTTCCTGAAGGATTTAGTTGGAGTAAAATTTATGAAGGTGAATATCAAAATGGTAAAAAAGTAGGTAGATGGAGTGAGCATAGAAAAAAAATTATGTAAAAATTTAAGTTAAAACTGGCATAAATTGTGCTTATGTGTATTTAGTGGTGGATTATATAAAGAAGGAAATGATGAAATTAAGGTTGGTGAGTGGATTGAATTACATAAGGAATTTGAAAATAAAGCCGAAGTAACCTATAGGGGTGAATATAAAAACGGGAAAAAAGTAGGTAAATGGGATATTATTGAAGATGATTTTGAAAATGGTATAGAACTAATGTAAAATATATTATTGAAAAGTCCTTAATTAATAAAATAATATGTGTGTTAGTGGTGGCGGATCATATGATGATGGAGGTTTTGGCATAAAAATTGGGGAATGGATTGATTTGGATGAGGATTTTAGACGAAACCCAATTGTAATCCATTAAGGTCAATATAAAAATGGTAAAAAATTTGGTAAATGGGATATGAAATGGAATTGGACAATGTAATAGATATCATTTATGGATTATTTACCTTATGCTCATGGCGGTGGATCATATTAAGAAGATGGTATAAAAATTGGATAATGGATTGATTTTGCTGAAGGATTTAGCTTTGAATAACAATTAATTTTTAAAGGCGAATATAAAAATGGTCGAAAATTTGGTAATTGGGATATTTAGTATCGAATTTGTTTAAGTTACCCTGATTTATAAAATCCTTTCTCAAAAATGTATATAATAATATATAAAGGCCTTAAATAATCCAATAATGTACGATTGTATTAGTGGTGGTGGATCGTATGATGAAGAAGGTAAAGGTTATAAGATCGGGTAATGGGTTGATTTGGATGATAGTTTTAATAATTCAAAATAAATAATTTATAGCGGTCAATATGATAATGGTAAAAAGGTTGGTATTTGGGTGAAAATGTTAAGAGAAAGTAAATCAATGGATGATAAATTTATTAAAGTAAAAGAAATATCTTATGATAATTGAATAATCAAGTTTAATTATGAAAAATAATATTATTAATTTATTAAAAGTTGTCTTGAATGTGTAGTTTTATTAATATTATTTTTGTATGATAATTTATTGTTGCTTGTTATTTTTTCATATTGTTTTGTATTTTATTTTTATATTAGTAATATAAAATTAGTTTGATTTCAAATTTTGAAATGATGTTCCTCTTTATAGTATATATTCAAATGACTTTTTTGAATTAAGTATTTACTCTTCTTTTGTTTACTAATCTCGATTAAAAGAATAAATTAATATAAAATGAGAATGCAATTATACTTAATTAAAGAATTATATTTAGCTAAGATTTAAGAAATTGTTTAATGAAAATTCAAATCGTGCCTAAGTTAGCGCTTAGGATCTTCCTCGCAGCTTGACTAAATGATATGTGAACCCTAATTTTTGCTTATGAGGATGAAGTTGCTTTAACAAATTTTGTGAAAGTGCACCTTTTTTTCAGAGAAATCTAGTTTTAAAGTCAATATTAATTCAAACTACATTTTAAATTTAATGAAAGGGTTGGCTGATTATAGGAAAATCAGCTTAGAATGGATCGGACCTAACATTTGAGAAACAATAGATTGAAAAATACAAGTGTGCACTTTCTAACGATCGGTTCTGAAGATCGAGGTTAGTTAAATTATTTCTGATGGTGCTTATATTATTGACTATATTTGTTTTTCACACAAAATTAAATATTTACCCTATAATGGTTGCCTAGAAAGAAATAAACATATTTGGAAAAAGCAAACCAAATGGTTGGCAATAGCTTTTTTATCTTGTTAGAAACGTACTCCTTGTGCTTTAACGACTTTTTGATATTGGATGACTATTTAAATTAAGAGATTAGAGAACAAACACTTAATTATAGGGCTCTCCTAAATTAAGAGGATCCAAGCCTGTAAATTTTGTGATTAAATGTGAAAGTGCCAGTTATTGTTGACAAACCTCAAGTTGGTTTGCAGTCGGTGCTGAAAAACGTTAACTAATAAAATTTAATAATTCAATAAATTCATCTAAATTTAAATGTCAGAAAATCATATTATTTCGAATCAAAACACTTGAGGCAATATAAATTATGAAAATTTCCTGCAATAGACATTATTTTATGAATCCCTATTGTAGAAAACATAATACTGTAGACAAGTTTAAAATTCCATTCCTTAATTGAATAATTATAATCATTATTCTGTCTGAAGAGTCAAAGAGAATAGAGATACTTCTTTTGAATTCTAATGTCATAAATAGCCAAAAAAGGAAGTATTTGGAGGTATATTTATATTTCTACCTTTTATTTTCTCTAAATACCTAATTAATTATCAAAATTATATCTTTTGAATAAAAGCCAAGTTAATATTTTGATTGGAATAAAAGCTTCCAAAATCTTTTGATTGTTCAAATATATAATTTAGTCAGACAAATTCAATCACATTAAGTTTAAGAATCAAATATCAAGCATATAATAGTCACCAACTATATGTACTGAATATTACTGATTAATGCTTTAATCGAAAGCTTTTCTGCAATACTATTTTTTGAAATCAATGTAGTAACATTTAAAACTAATTCTTAGCAAATTTTCTTTATGTAAATGAACTATAAATAATTTTTTATTTAATTAAATGTTTAAATCATAGATAATCTAAATTAGAAAACAACTTTTTGTCAAAATAAAAATGGATAACTAATTATTCAGTTGTTGTGCTTGATGAAAGTTAGAAAAGCAAAAATAGATATATCTATGCAATCAAGACTGGAGGATTTAAAAAAAAGTTATGAAAAATTTATGTTTTAATACTTAGGAAATAAATTGAGAAATTAAAAATCTGCATAACTTTAAAACAAGAATTAAGGACATAATTTATGAAATTGTTTGAACATTGGATTGAAAATATATTGGTATAAAACTTAATAATGCAATTAATACAGCTTCTATGAAGAATTCGAATAACTTTATTAAGAAGCATAATGCTAATTATGATTTTAATACTATTAATTTTATTACAATAGCTTAAATTAATTTAAACAAAATTAAAATAAGTTAAACTTTAAAGCATTAAAGTAACAATTTATCAACATCAGTTATTCAGATTTGTCGCACAATTCAAATCAAATTAAAATTAATTGATTAATCTGTGGAATAAGTAAAAAATACCTTCTGTTCCTTCTATTATAATTAACATTAAAACCAGAGTTATTATTATAAAATACTTATGGAATATCGTTACCAAATTAGGCAATTTGCGCGATTTTAAAGGAATTTTATACATGAATTAAGATTTTTTTAAAATTCATTTTATTATTCCCTAATTTTCCCTCTGTTCTTAAGTGTTACAATAACCTAAGCAATTTTAGAGTCTTGTAAAGTTAAATAAGTACAGATATAATCCTACTTTTCGACATTTGAAACTTATGAATAGAATTTGAAAAATTTCCTTTTTGGCTCCTATCTGAACATTAATATATAGGGAGGCTCATCGTTCTTTTGCTTATAGAGGCCTATCCAATAATAAAATCAGCCTAAATTATTGCTTGTAGGTAATTGACTATTTTAATTATATAGCTATTATTCAAAGAAAATATGCCATTAATTTGTATTTAATTCTGGATCAATCCCTGATCAAAAAATTTTACGATGTTGTACTTTAATTGATAAGAGTTTAAGGTCTACAACTTATTTATATTGTTATTTTCAGGAATTGTTTATTTAGATTATATCAATACTTGGAATGTGTAATCCAAAGCACAACTAAGAATCTTGTCTAAATTTTATCATTATGATTTATTATAATAATATAATTCAAGGTAAAAATTTTAATGGTCAGAATTCATTTAAGCATTTTCAACTCCTTTAGTATCAACTGTCCTAAAGAGAAAAATCGCTTTTTCAGTTTCATAGATTACTGATAACTTCAGTTCTCTGTATCAATTATCTAGTGTTACTTTAATCATGCGTCTAAAAGATCTGATAAGAGAAAGTACACTGCTGAAAACCCTTAGAACCATATTCTTTCTTAGTTAAAACTCTTATACACAGCTGTTTGTTCTACCCTATTATCTTCTATCGTCCAGTATTAGTTGCAGATCTTCACCCTGCTTAACTTACACAGATTAAATTTATAACTGAGACAGGAATGTGCCTCTGTTTTATTGCCGTAGGAATTGTTTCAAAAACTACAAATAAAGAGTAAACAGTAAAATCTGTACCTTTAAAACTGTGGATCAATTACCTTAAAGAAATAAATTTCATTATGTAAGAAGTTACAGAAATGTTGGCACATATCTTTATTCTGGGCTAGTGACTATGCTAAATCATACTAAATAATGT